TTACCTGTACCACAAGAAATCCAATGTTGAGAGATAAAACTCAAAAAGGATGGGTGGTCAAGCCACATACGTTGGAACATAAATCGACTCTTATGTTTCAATTGTTGTCCCGTAACCATCAGCAATGGAGCATGATCCGAACCCACCCTCGCTAGATGATGAACCTCAATCGAAGGCAACGAAACATGTGCCTCACCATTAATGAGAATCCTATCCAGCCGCTCCCATATTCTTCGACTACCTCTTTGATTGTTACTCCAGGTATATCGATTTCCCACAAAACCAATGTCGGAAAGACCGGCTTGAATAATACACTCGCGAAAATCCTGAATACCCCTCAGATCCGCTGCATTACCTCCCTTTTTCTCATCAAGATGAAGAATAATATTAAAATCGCCTCCAACAATCCATGATCCAGTGCACACGTCACTCAACGAAAGAATAGTATCCCATAATTGACGTCGCTCATCTCTAATACAACTGGCGTAAACAAAGGTAATCCATGTAGAAGAAATCAAGCCGTGAGCCATCATGGTAATGGCCTGATCCGTAACTGAAAATATGTTAACTGCAAAATCCGTAGACCAAAAAAATCCAAATTTTATCACCTGCATGGTAATTTGGATACCCAAGTTTACGAGCATAACCACCAATTTTATCGTTAATTTGCTTCGGTTCACTAATCCCTATAACACCTGGTTTATGCTCCCGAATCCATTGTGAAAAATACGCCAAAGATTCCGGTTTCCCGATCCCTTGAATATTCCAAAAAAGCACAAACATTAAGGTAATGTAGAGGAGAGATCCGTAATCTGGACCTTTCGAGGTCTACCTGGTTTTCGTTTTTCGACAACTTGCATAACGTGCGCATTTTCCACCTTATCATTCTCATTATCAGAGAAAACACACAGTGTACCCTTATTGTTAATCTCCCCCGTATCTGATTGATAACCCACATCCAGTCGTTTAGCTGCTAGAGAACCCGTCGACAAATTAGGAAGCACAACATTAATCTCCTCAACACGTCCAGCCGTTTGAACATCAACTACCGTACCCAGGGAATGGTTTTCCGTGATTTGATTTTCCTCAGTACCTGCCAATTGATATCCCAAGTCTAGCCGAGATGGACTAGACAATTTTTCACTGTTAGAGAAAATTTGTTGTGAGTCAACATGAATTTGTGTAACATGTTTTGCCACTTGTTGTTCCCCATTACCGAAATTCTCCACAGAAAGAAGAGCAAAACGGTTGCCGTGTGAACTCGACATAGATTTTGGGGTTTCCGTCTCCTCGTCACTAAGCAGACCCGTGCCCTTTAGAACTTCCTTCATATCAGCCAATCTCGAAGGGCCAACATCTGAGCGTTTTAAAATCTGCACAGGAGAATTAAACTTGTTCGAAATCTTGTCAGCATTATTCGTGTCGGAATCCTCACCAGATGTCCCAACTACCTTTTCCGAAGCCAAAAGCTCCTTATTTTCTCCCAACGGTATCACCAGCTTCTTCGGAACATACTCCATTTTTGTTTTAGGTTTTGGCACACTTTGAAGTTTAGTTACACGAATATTCTTGCGACAACATCCTGCCGTATGCCCCAGTAATCCACAATAAGAGCAATACGCTATATTGCCTTCATACTCTACCTTCTGCCACCAACCTTGATCCTTTGAAATGCCGATCCATATTTCTTGTGGGAATGGTTGAGACACATCGATCTCTATGCAGACCCTCGCGTACATTTGATGTGTGAAACCAAGAGTGCATTCATCAGCACTCAGTACAGTACCGAGACACGCCCCAATCCTTTCCAATGATGAGATATTGAAATATTGAATCGGAAGCTTTGGAAAGCGAACCCAAACCGGAGCAATACAACTGTCCTTACCAATTTGAAAATCAGGTGTCCAACGGAATAGACGAAACATGCAATTCTTGATCATTTTACTGTGACGAGCGAGGGCTAATTTAGCATCAGATATGGAACCCATATGAATCGTAATGTGTCGTGGATCAAGCAAACCAATGGCTGGTTCATGTTCAAGTTTCCACTCCGACAAAATATGAGAACGAATTTCTAGTAAACTAGGTCGACCAACAGAAAATTTCATAATAATCGTATTGGCGACTTGTTTATTCAGTTGGTCAACCTCCACCGGAGAGAACAAAACTGCTGGAGCATTACCTATAGAAACAGGGGCTCGAGACGCCAAAGGAACGGGTTGTAGTCGAGGCTTGGTAGACACTTTGGCTCCTACCATCGACACAAAAGAAGGTCTAGAAGAACCTTCCCCATGAGACAAAGGTAGTTGCTGGTCTGGTGGTTGAAGTGCCGGCGGCGGTACCACCGGATTGGTGGCCATAGTGGCCAGAAAACGAGCAAACTCGATGAACGAAGAAGACGTCGGAAATCGCCAGAGCAGGTAACCAAACCCTAGTTTTATTATTATTGTTATTATTGTTATTATTGTTATTATTATTATTATTATTATTATTATTATTATTATTATTATTATTATTATTATTATTATTATTATTATTATTATTATTATTATTATTATTATTATTATTATTATTCTTATTATTATTATTATTATTATTATTATTATTATTACTATTATTATGATTATTATTATTATTATTATTATTATTATTATTATTATTATTATTATTATTATTATTATTATTATTAT